TGGGCAGGGGCTTAGGGTCTCGAGTTCGAATTCCTGGTGCCCCACAGGTGCTGAGCCCCTTCCGGCAGCTCTGTGAGCCCCACAGAGGAGCGTAGTGGGAGCACAGTCAGCCCTTGGTGGGCACCCTCACACAGGCCACCCCACCCCTGCGGCAAACACCCCAGGCCAGTGCAAGTGGCCGCCCTCCTGGTGGTCCTCACAATGGAGGCATCATTCAATCCGTTAACTGAAGTCTTAAAGTCCCAAATGGTGTGGCTCCGTTTGGTGTGTGTGTGTTTTTTTTTAACACACTTTGTTGCAGTGGGCGCATTAGTAGCAGGCAGGGTGTTCACACACGCTGACCCGGGTTCAATCCCCTGAGCACCCCCGGGGAGTATAAACTCCTGAGCACAGAGCCAGGAGGAAGCCCTGAGCATCGCTGGCTGGGGCCCACCCCCAACGCCGCCTCTCCCCCAAAGGACGGGGCTGCAAAGCAGACACCCACCTCAACGCCAGGGGAGAGGACCCAGGGACAAGAAGGAAGACACGCAGCCCTGGCGCGAGCGGGCGAGGAGAAAGAGCTGAGGCTGGCAAGCCAGGAGCCAAGACCTGGGCCCCCCGGAGGCAGCCCCCCGCCGGCCGGCGCCACATGCGGACCTGGGCCCAGGCTCTCCGAACCCACACCTCGGAAATGCAGATCCCTGTGGGACACCTCCCCACGGGTAACTGACAGCGGATTCGGAATCCAAATAAAGGGAAACCGGGGCTGGAGCGGCAGCACGGCGGGTAGACCGTCTGCCTGGCACGTGGCCGGCCCGGGTTCGATCCCGAGCATCCCAGAGGGTCCCCCTGAGCACCGCCAGGAGTGATTCCTGAGTGCGGAGCCGGGAGGAGGCCCTGAGCATCGCATCACACCGGGTGGGACCCAGAAAGCAAATGAAGGGAAACCGGCAACCAAGAAGGTCGGATCCTCGGGGACCACCGCACGCCCGGTCGGAGACGAGCGCTCAGACACACACTCGGGGGCCGGGCGAGGGGGCAGAGCCGTGGACGGGACGCAGCTCTGACTCCCCGACACGAGAGACGGGGACGGGAAGGGGCCGGTGGCGCGTCTCCCTGCGGACCCGTCGAGAGAGGGACCGTCTCCTGCTCAGAGACACCTGCAGCGGCTCCAGCCTGCCCCGACCGAGCGCCACCCACCGCTCCAGGCCTCACGGGCAGGTCAGCCCCAGGCCACTGCCTGGTCCTGTGGAGCTGACTTCCCCGTGGGGGGCTGCAGAGAGCAAGTGAAGAGGCTGGGGAGAGAGCACCCCGGGGAGGGCCTGGGCCTCGCGTGTGGCTGACCAGGGTTCCAGCCCCAGCACCCCAGGTGGTCCTCGGTGCCCCGGGAGTGGGCCCTGATACCGAGTCGGAGTCAGCTCTGAGCCCCAAAGAGACAAGCGCTCGGGGCCCGGGCAAAGTTCGGGCAGAGGATCGGCCTGGCACTTGTGCCACCCGAGGACCCCTGACGCCAACGCCGACCGCTGGCCCCACGAGCAAGCATGGTGCCTCCAACAACAAAAAAGAAGGAAGGGGTGGGGGGATAAAAAACAATTTAATAACAAAGGCAACAAATCCGACCAGTGTTTCTCAGCCAGTGGACGGACATCCGGGACACTCCAGGGGGTGAAGGGTCACAGGTAAAAGCTGCCTAAATAGAGGGTTGTGGCCCTTGACCAGGCTAGCAGGGTGGGGGCTGGATGGGGGCACAGGACGGACGTGAAACTGGATGGGGAGAGAGGCTGGGAAGCGCCGTATCTGGGCCCTCAGCACTCCAGGGGGCGCACCCGGCACGTGCAAAGGCCCAGGGGCCGCTGAGTGGGGCAAGATGGGAAGTTGCAGGCAACGTTATGCTGTCTCTCTCAGGACTGGGGGGTCACGGACCTCAGCGGGGACAACGGAGGGCAGAGAGGGTGTGGGTGAGGGGGTGGCCCCGAGGCCCTGCAGCGGCTCGGCCCAGAGGGAGTGCCAGGAAGGCTTGAGAACGGGCCAATCTGGACCCGCGTTGGAGGCTGACAGAGCCTGGGAATGTGCTGGCAGGTCGGATGCAGGGAACTGTAGGGAGCCACGGAGACCACGAGGCTTGGGCAGCCACCAAGAAGGGCCAGGTGAGGCGTGTCCCAAGTTCTAGGGACAGGCCTGGGGTCCCTCCCCCAGAAGAGGGAGCACTTCCTCCAAGTGGGGTCCACGGAGGGCAAGAGGCGTCTCGCCCACCGCCCAGGCCTACGGCAGGTGCCGGGGGTCACGCGGCCCTTAGAGTCTCCCCGCAGACGGGCCCACGGCGCCTCCTCCTGCCTTGGTCAAGGCGGCCAGCCCAGCGCGTGGCCACTGTTCCCCACGTCCAAGTGTCCATTCTCTACCCCCCAGAGCACCGGCCTGTGACTGGGCGGTCCACCCCTGCCCTGGACCTTCCCCGAGGCGGCCCCTGGGCGGGCAGTGGCCAAGGAACAGGCAAGGATGTGGCTGGGCGCCAGATGGCCTGGCGGGAGTGAGGGGCAGTGCGGGGGAGGGACGCGACCCGCCCCTGTGTGAGAGCGTGACAAGGCGCATCCCAGGGAGGAGAAACGCGCAGCTCTGGGCCTAGAAACGGAGGGAGGCTTCGGCGCTGAGCCGGGCGCCGGGGGGCCCAACGGGTGGCCTCGGTGACTCTGAGCGACCCCTGAGAAGTTGGGAGACAGGAGCGTCCTGCCTGCGTGCCACAGAGGAGGCCACTGGGCACAGAGCGAAGGTGGCTGGCGTGGCCACACTGCGGCCCCTGTTCTCAGGGCCATCCCCCCGCATGAGCCAACCGAGCTGCCCCGCGAAGCCCCCCGAGGTGGCCTGCCTCCACCCCACACCCCCTCACTCTCCCGCCCCCCAGCTCCGGCAGGCTGGCGGGCCTCTTCTGGCCATCTGGAGTGTCCAGGCCCCCGCCGCCCGCCTTTTAAATTCGGGCACTCCCAGGAACTGAGAGCCAAGGGGTCAAGGCCGAAGATTAGGGAAGTGGGAGGGACACCGGGCAAGCCGACCAGGCCGCTATCTCGGCCCTTCCCTCCCACCTGCCCGGCGAGCTCCGGACATCGGCGGTTTCCACAGTGAAACATTCTTGGGAGGAGAAAGAACACGGTTTGCCTGGCGATGTAGTTTCATTTCTACCTTTTTTTTTTGGCTTTTTGGGTCACACGCAGCGATGCACAGGGGTTCCTCCTGGCTCATGCACTCGGGAACTGCTCCTGGCAGTGCTTGGGGTCCCAAATGGGATGCTGGGAATCGAACCCGGGTCAGCCCCGTGCAAGGCAAACGCCCTCCCCGCTGCACTATCAACTCCAGCCCTTTTTTTTTGGCATTTTGGGGGGGACCATATCTAGTAATACTCAGAAACTCCTGGTTCTTTTTGGAGGGGGCATATCTAGCAATGCTCCGGGGTTACTCCTGGTTCTGTGCTCGGGAATCACTCCTAGCAGGCCTCAGAGGACCACCTGGAACACTGGGGACTGAGCCCGGGTCGGCGGCAGGCAAAGCAAGCACCCCACCTGTGCATCATCAGTCCGGGACTTTTCTTTCTTTAGACCAAGGACCTGGGTGGGGGGAGGGGGTGTCCTCCCAAGCAGTGCTCAGGGGTCACACCGGGCCGGCCCTCAGTCGGGCAGTGGGGCTGGTGCTGTGTGGGCCCCGGGGGTGCTCAGGGGTGACGCCGAGGGGTGCCCAGAGAAGCAAACCAGTCCGGGGCGAGAACTCGGGAGGTCCCCATCTGGCCGGCACATGGCGGCTCTCCTGAGTCATTTTCCGACCTGCCCCCGTGCCTTTGAAGCGCCGTGAACACCCTGAAGCAATCAGGACCCGGGAGCTGCCAGCGCCCTGAGTCAGACGCCTCCTGAGCCGGGATCCCCACACGCCCGCCCGCTGGCACGCGGCGGGCGAGGACTCCAGAAGCCACGGCCACCCGGGACCAAACTCCCGGTGGGAAACCAGGCACGAGGCAGGGGGGGCGGCCGGCGGTCCCTCCCCTCTGCCAACGGGGTCCCGCTCTGCACACGCTCTGCTGTCTGGTGAGCCCGGGTCCCCATGCAAAGCGTGGACACCGCTTCCTGCCCCGACACCGCTTCCTGCCCGGGGAGGTCAAGGCTGACTCTCCCCCGGGAGACCGTGACCTGCCCTGGCCTCCCCCTGCCCTGCCCTGCCCAGAGTGACCGCCTCCCCGGGGCCCTCCAGGGTGTCTGTGCCAGGCTCCCAAGGCAGCCTGCGAAGACCAGGACCAGGACCAGGACCAGGACCAGGACCCCGGAGGAAGCATGGGCGCCGCTGGTGGCCTGACCCTGAGGGCTGGGGTGGACAACCTGCAGGCTCCCGGGTGCCCACCCCGCCGGCCTGGGCTGGTCAGCGCGACCCGACCTGCTCCTGGGGACAAGGGGGACAGATCGCACTAGGGGGCAAAATCCAGGGCCCGGAGAGGACTGAGGGTGCAGAGGAGGACGGGGTGCAGCTGGGGCACAGGCGTGGCGTGTCCCCACGGGCGCCGGAGCCCAGGGACCCCCGGGGTCGGGCCCCCGGGGCAGGGCTGGGCCCCCGGGCTCGGGGCAAACTTTCCAAGCCCCCGGCTGGGCTGCGGGACCCCCGCCCCGCCCGACGCAGGAGTAACGGGCAGAAGAGCCGAGGGGCAAAAGCCCCACAAGCACCGGAAAGCGCGGCTGGAAGTTGCTGGCCGCGCCTCGCCGGGCTCGCACCCCGGGGTGGGCAGGGGGGACGCGGGCAGGGAGGGGCCGGGGGGGCCGGGGGGACCGGGGGGACCGGGCGCCCCCCGGGGCTGCCCACGCCGCCCCGCCCGCCCGCCCGCCCGCGTGCACGTCCCGGAAGGCTGCGGGGTGGGCGGCGCCCCCGGGACCCCGAGTCGGACCCCGGCCGGCCCCCGCGCCCCCTCCCCGCTCGGGCTGGCCCGCGGACAGGGGCCGGGCGGGCGGGGGGCTGCGGGGTCCGGGGCGCCCCGCCCGCCCCCGGGCACCTACCCAGAAGGGCTCGGAGCCGTCGACGCTGCAGAAGCCCCCGAGCGCCATGCGGGCGGCGGGCGGCGGGCGGCGGGCGCGGGGCGGGCGCGGGCGGCGGACGGACGGACGGACCCGGCGGCGGCGCGGCGCGGCGGAGGCTCCCGGCCCGCAGCGCGCCCTGATTGGCCGCCGCGTCACGGGGATGCGGACGCCCCGCCCCGGCCACGCCCCGGCCACGCCCCTCGCTCCTGGCCCCGCCCCGGCCTGGCCCCGCCCCTCGCCCCGCCCCGCCGCCGCCGCCGCCGCCCCGGCGCCCGCACCCACGCGCTGGCCCCGCGCCCCCGGCCCCGCGCCCCTGCCCCAGCCCCCCGCCCTCGGCCCCGCGCCCCGGCCCCAGCCCCCCGCCCCCGGCCCCTGCCCCAGCACACCCCCCCCCCGCGCTCTGCCTCGCGCCCCCCTGCACGCCCCCCCCAGCCCCGAGCGCCCCAGGGCCCCGCGCCCAGCCCCCAGACCCTGCACCCTGCGCGCGAAGGCACCTGTCGGGCCCGGCGGGGGGCTGCATGGGCCACCGCGAGCCAGAGCGGACGCAGCAGGAGCCCCCCGCCCCCCCCCCCCGGCCCTGCCCTCCCGCAGCAGCGGCCGATCAGGGGACACACGTGCTGGCGCTTTCCAGGGCACCAAGGGCCGGAGAGACCCGGTGCCCTGCCAGGCGGGACCCCGCCCACGGCTGGGCAAAGCGGCAGCAAGGCCGGCGCCCTCCGCTCCTCTTCCCGGGCACCGCCCCCGAGCCTGCTCCCCCTCCTCGCTGGGGTTCTTCTTGCTCAGTAACGGAGACCACCGCCCCCCTGCCCCCAGACCCGGCGGCCTAGAGGTCCTGGGCCAAGCAGTCCCACCAACAGCCAGAAGAGGCTGAGCAAACAGGGAGGGCCCTTGCCCTGCGCAGGACCGACCTGGCATGCCATGAGGTCCCCGAGCACTGCCAGGTGGGAACCCCAGATTACCAATTACACAGAAAAGACACAAGAGGTCGGAGAGGTTGAGCAAACAGGTAGGGCTCTTGCCTTGCACAGGACCGACCTGGCATGCCATGAGGTCCCCCGAGCACTGCCAGGTGGGAACCCCAGATTATAAATTACACAGAAAAGACACAAGAGGTCGGAGAGGTTGAGCAAACAGGTAGGGCTCTTGCCTTGCACAGGACCGACCTGGCATGCCATGAGGTCCCCCGAGCACCGCCAGGTGGGAACCCCAGATTATAAATTACACAGAAAAGACACAAGAGGTCGGAGAGGTTGAGCAAACAGGTAGGGCTCTTGCCTTGCGCAGGACCGACCTGGCATGCCCTGAGGTCCCCCGAGCACCGCCAGGAATGGTTCCTGAGTGCAGAGCCAGGAGTGAGCCCTGAGCATTGCTGGGTGCGACCCAAAATCCAAAAAAAGAAGAAAACATAATGCAATGTGGGGGAGGGGGCGTTCTAGAGGAAGAGACTGGGGGGGGGGTGCTCCTGAGACCAGAGAAGGCAGGCAGAGAGAGAGAGCAGCTCAGGTTGACGGTCACCCCCGCCCAGCAACCGCTCTCCGGCTGGGCTAGCAGGGAGACCATTCCTCCCCTGCCTCCTGGGTTTCTGGGACAGAGTTCTGTGCTGGGACTCGCCCAGAAAGACTCATCTCTACCATTATGGGTGATCAGAGACTTGGCCGTTGGCAATTATTTTTTCATCATCTTTTTATTGATCGAGGTTCTATGGTTTACAAGCCTGTTAATGACGATTTCCTGGGCTCATAATACCAACACCACACCGGCACCCATGTACCTCCCTCCCTCCCTCCACCAAGGAGGGTGCGAGCATGCAAGGCAGATGCCCTCCCGCTCCAGCGCCCGGGCCCTGTCTGTCGCATTCATGGCCTGTCGACTTTTGAACTCGAGGCCCGGCTGGATGTGGGCTAGTGAGCTGGTTCCGGGAACGGGGCTGTCTGGCAGGGACAGTTTTAACAGCAGCCGTTTCCTCGCAGACTTCACAGATCCACCTGCTCCTAGGTAGGGAAGCGCGGAAATGAAGCCGGCCTGTGCTCGGAGCCGCCTGTCGGCGTTACGCAGGAGACCTCTGCAAGGGATGGGCAGGCACAGAATGACCGCACTCATCTGCGGGAGGTAAAACTAATGAGATGTCCATCATTTACCAAACAGTAGACACAAGGGCCAGGAGGGCTGGTCCAGGGAGGGAAGCCTGCCACAGAGCGGGAGGGAGAGGGCAGTTGGGACAGAGAAGGGGCCACTGTGACGATGACAGTTGGGAATGATCACTCTGGACAAGAACTGAGAGCGGAAAGGAGGAAAAGGGACAGACATGATAACCTTTCAGTACCTGTACTGTGAACCACGGGGGGCGGGGGGGAGAGAGAGAGGGAGAGGGAGAAAGAGAGAGAGAGAGGGAAAGAAAGAGAGGGAAAAAGAGAGGGGGAAGAGAGAGAGAGAGAGAGAGAAGTGCCTGCCATGGAGACGGGCTGGGATGGGTGGGTGGGTGGCGGGAAGGGAACTGGGGACATCGGTGACAGGAAATGTGCACTGGTGAAGGGACAGGTGTGGGAACATTGCATGACCCAATCGGGAATGATTTTGTAGCTGTGGATCTCGTGGCGATTCTATTAAAGTTTTTAAAAAGGAAGACGGAGGAGGAGGAAGAGGAAGAGTGAAGGAACAGAAAGGAACGGGAAGCCACGCCTGGAGCCACACAGTTCCTACTACTGACTGTCAAGAGGAACATGCTACACCTCAGGTCCATCTCCAGAACATTCTAGGGGAAGGAGCCAGGAGCGCATGTTCACCAGCTGGAAAGGGCGTGAGGGAGCTTTGAGGAATGGTGACCATCTGTGTCTTGGATCCGGCAGAGACTGGACAGGACCAGAATGCCCCCTCCCGCCCAGCTGATCTGTGTTATCCTCTTCATTTGTGTCTCCAGGGGTCCCAGGGGCAGCTCAAGAGCCGAGCACCTGCCTTGCCGTGAGTTCGAGCCGCAGCCCTGAATGCAGACTCCACAGCACCTGTGCTCTTGGGGGGGTCCCCAGTGTTTACACTGTGGGGGTTTCTGAGTCGACACCCCACGGAGGTGTGTGAGCCCTGACGATCGCCAACCCATGGTCATGAAGAACCAGCAACCACCACCCAATGAAGGGACGAGGAGAAAAGGAAAAAAAAAAATAAAAGAAAATGAAGGTGGAACTGGAGCAATAGCACGGTGGGGAGGGCATTTGCCTTGCACGCAGCTGACCCAGGTTCGAGTCCCAGCATCCCATATGGTCCCCCGAGCACCATCAGGAGTGATTCCTGAGTGCTGAGTCAGGAGGAACCCCTGAGCATCGCCAGGTGTGACCCCCAAAAATTTTTTTAAAAAAAGAAAGAAAGAAAATAAGGTGATTCCCTCATTCCGATGGGAAGGCAGATTCCGGGATGGAGAGGAGGCCCTCTACTAACCCTGGCGCCACCCGAGGAGCTGCCGGGCCTCCCGCTCCCCCCAGCCATGCCCCTTCCTGCACGAGGGTAAGCCTCCACCCTGCACACACCTGCTTTCTGAGGGACAGTGTCACTGAGTGTCAGCCAGCCCCGGGTGGCCTCAAGCACCTCGGACCCACAGGGTCGGCTCAGCACTACATCCTCGGACTCGCGCACGAATCTGCTGGCCTGGCTCGCCGAGAATCACCAGGAGCCCCCGGGACCCCCTGAACATCACTTCGGAGCACCCCCAAGTATGTATTCATAGGGGGCCTGCATTGTGCTCATGTCAAACATATGGTTTGCTTAAGTGAAGTTTGGGTTTGATACTGGGCACAGGTCAAGGATTTCTACTATACCTACATATCTGCAATATATACGTATACATATACATGTATACATATATATATATCTCCAGGACCCAGCCAAAGCCATGCTGAGGCCACTCTCCACACCCTTGGATGAGGAACCGGCAGAGGAACCCAGGTATGCGGGACCCGGGGCTGAGATCTCCAAGCCTGCTTGGTTCAGGACTGGGTCTCCTCCACCCAGATCCTCTATCTTCCAGAAGCTAGACAGTTACACCCACCAACTGCCGTGTAACCCCATCAACGGTCAGGATCCAGAGACTGTAAAACCAAGCTCCCGGACCTCTTATTGTCTAGTTCTCACTCTCAGAGAACCCGGCAGGCTACTGAGAGTATCATACATACGACTGACTAGGAACACCTGCAAAGGTGATTAGAGGCTGCCCCAAAAGCCTCCTCCATCCGTCTCGGAGAGCCCGGCAAGCTACCGAGAGTATCCCGCCCGCATGGCAGAGCCTGGCAAGCTACCCGTGGCATACTCGATATGTCAAAAACACTAACAGTGAATGGTCCTCATTCCTCTGGCCCTGTAGGAGCCCCCAGTATGTCATCAGGCTACACTTGCACGTGACAGGGACAAATGGAGACGTTACTGGGCCCACTCAAGCGAATTGAAGAACAACGGGGTGATAGTGGTAGTGATATATATATATATTCATAAAGGTGGGATATGTGCATTTATTTGTACATGCAGGTGTTTCAACATGTATGTTTATGATACATGCTTTGTGATGATATCTTTGATATATAAAATATATTTTATATAACTATATGTACATCCACATAGTTGTGTGTGTACGTGTGTGTATGTGCATGTGTGTATATATGCGTATACACAATACGCAATCACTTCAGGGGGCCGAAGAGAGAGCACAGCAGTCGCTTGCCTTGCATGCTACTGTCCCAGGGTTATCCCCAGCACCCCATGTTATACCCCACCCGAGCACTGTAATTCTTGAGCACGGGAATAACCCCTGAGCACAGCCAGGTGTGGCCCAGAAACCATAATAAATGAACAAACAAACAAAAACAAATATGTAACTTCATACTAGCATTTTTTTGCCGGAGAAGTAAATGTAGGTGATGAATTCGAATTGTTTTCAAGGCACCTGGAGAGATAGTACCGTGGGTAAGGCACATGCTTTGCATGGGGCCGGCCCAGGTTCAATCCATGGTACATCACGGGGTTTGAGGTACCTCACCCAGGCCCCATTGGGGCTGATCACTG